TGGTCAACGTTAATGACCACAATCTGCTCTTAGCTGGAATCTTTGTGAATTTATGGAATTAAATGTGCTTTTTAATCCTGTGAATAATACTTTCAGTTGGTCTGAGCATTAATATTTATGACTTAATTAATTATGTGCTAAGAGTATATTCTAGTCCATAATTGGCTGTCTCTTCCCCCCCCCCCCACCATTGTAAATGTCTGAAGCAAGCAAAAAGAATTAAACTCATAGTTAAAAATCACCTTATTCTTCAACCTGCGCAGCAGAAACAGTTTGGTTCCCAACCTCGAGGTCGGAATTTCAATCCCTCGTCGTGCATATCGCTTGTGTCCTTGAGCAAGGCACTTTATCTGCATTGCTTCTCTCCAACCAGGAGTATAAATGGGTATCTGGTGGGTTTGCCTGTTGCTGTGCTGATTACCAGCAGCAATACTTAAAGCATGTGGACCCAATGACCAGGGAAAAGAACTGCCCTTTATAACCGCAAGGAAGAGGTGCATTATAAATGCCCACATCACCAGTACCCACTCCAACTTCACACCCCATTTAAGTAGCCCCACATTTCTAGACTCCAGATACACTACTGATATAACACTTCTATCTGCACTCTTCTAATCACATTAAGAGTGAAGAAGGTATGATCTCAAGAACTAATTTCATTCCATTTAATGTGGCAGTCTGACATTGTCATATGTGATAAATTTGAGCCCGCATTAATTTTGTAATTCATATGAAGCATTACGATTGGCTATAATGATTTAGCATGTAAAATAGCCTTATTGACCATTATATTCCTGACTCATGCGACATGAGGTCATCACGTGGATCTGTCACTTTAGGCAAAGCGCTGTATTAATCAACTGATGATGAATGATCATAATCAAATGAAACGTACAAAATGGTCAAATGAGAGATTTGAACCATGGATCTTCACACCGGAAACCCAACACCTCAAGGATATAATCTCAATTATATGGATTGGAAATGCAAATTGTGTTTTAATAAATTATAAATTAAATTAATTTTTCAAGCAATAAAATTTATCTATATTTTTTCAAGAGATATGGATTGTTCCATTTAGGTTGGATATTGTGGGGATAGTTTTCCCCATCGTGATAGTGTTCCCTGTAAAAATACATGGTAATATTTTAACATGCTTCTAAGAAATTATCTACGACTGAATTTATAAGCGGCGGTTGAGGTTTAATTATAAATCATACTGTGTGCATTTGATATTAATGAGTGAAAAATAATGTCTGGAGAGAGAGGAAAAAAAACGAGATGTAGAAATTGTGTTTAACGAGGCATAAAACATTTCCTGAATTCTCACAAAGTTAATAAAAATCATGTAAATGTACTGTTTATGCTACTGGGTATTCCATCATGTTAATGCAGAAGCTATTACGTGTCCTCAGGTATTGCACACGCTCAGTGTAAGTCCGCGATCGTTGCTTCTCATTCTGAATTCTACGGCGTTTCTAGAGTGAACTCATTCATGGAGTTTTGATGAACTAGCCATTAACTTTTATGCATAAATTCAGTGATCTGAAGTAGGACTAGCGTTTGTAAGGCATGTAAGTTAATACATATAGACTATATATATATACTACTAGCCATTGATTAGATTCACTTTACTACAACTGTAAATGTATACATACTGAAAATGGACACGCACTCAGAATGCATACTAGTCTGAATACATTCATTGAAAGGAGCAGAGCTATATAAGAGCTATATACACTATTAAAGAAGAGAATTACGACACTTTTGAGATTAATAAAATATGTTATTTCCACAAACTCATGTCACTGCACGTATGGCTTCCTCAGGTACATCTGTATATGTTTCCATACTTGAAAAGGCTATTTGTGTCTCCTATAAATTCTATTTTTTATGGTACATAGAACCTGTGTATATTCTCAAATAGTGTCAGTGTATGATGAGATGGAAATGTGCTAGCATTATTATAAACTACAATATTTTTCTAATAATATAATAAATGTTTTATTAATTTTCTTCTGAGGAAAATTCATGTTTTTATTTTTATACATACATACATACATACAATAGCCAGAAATTGTACATAAGACAGTACAAATCTATAGCACAGTATCTATGTGGGTATTTTTAATATACCTAATTACCAACATAAATATTATATAGGCCCATATAAATACCCACATATTGTGGATGTAAATGCCTGGCCATACTGTAATAACAATGCGGCTTACTGTATAGTGTCACATACATAGTGTATGTGATGTTCTTTACTGTCACTTGAAGTATCATGGTACCATGACAGTTGGTTACATCATCCGTGACGCCATGATTGCATATTTTTTTGGGTGGGAAGGGAAATACGCACATTTTTTTTTACATTCAGCTCTCATTTTGAGGAAAATATTTGTCTAACCACTTACTGTAAGTACTCTACGTATATGCCAGTGTATGTTAGGCATTCTATAAATACCCACAACTTCTACTAATACTTTAAATAGATTTATATAAATGGAATAGTATATTCAGTTTCTGTAATATCAGACCTAACGTTTAAAAGTAACATCAATTTATGAATGAAAGAATGAGTATAATCTTTAAATGGATGGATGTAAATGTAAATAGTAACTTATTATACGATTCACTTTAAAATGTGAATGGAGCTATAAACATACATGCTCACTATATACCACATAAATATTGATGTCACATTAAATCAAAATCAAAATATATATATATATATGAAATTTTGAACATATAGGGAAATTTTACTCTAGAATTATTTTGGATTTAAATTCTTGATTTCCTGTTTTGTTTACTGCTAATGTATCTCTAAAATCACCATCACATGGCATCATGTGATCAATGATCACGTTTGACACACCCCCTCGCGGGAAAAAAATAGTGCGGACCCTTTTACAGGATTTCCGAAGACATGCTTTTGACATGTTAATAATTTATTACTGAATGAGTCCATTAAATTCGCCTGTAAATTATGTCTTTACATGAATTCTAAAGTCCCAGTAGAGTGAGATATGTTGTACAAGAAGATATATAGATTTATATATGGTTTTGCTCACCTTTTCACTTTCTCTATGTTAATATAACCTGGTTTATTTTATATTGTTGCTTAACTTTACTCTGTGTACCTTCATTCAGGATTTCTTGAGTTGAAGATATCCCAACTGCAAGGACATTTGGAAAATCCTAAAATTAAATTTTAAAACATTTAATTGGCCATTGAAAAAGACCTATGGATAGGCTATTAACATCCAATTGTACACTGATGGAATTTAAGTTTTCAATGATTTACAGAGCTTCATCTTCAACTGATTACTATTCATAGAATATAGAAAGAGTGTTATTTATAAAACTGGTAATTGGCGAGGAATATTTTTTCACATTCTAATTTTAAACTGAACTCTTAAATGTACAAAGTTAACATTTTCAATAATGAAAGATTTTTAGCACAAATTAGAATCATAAATAGGATATTACTGTTCCATAAGTATTAGTGATGAAAGAATCTATAAATATTGTACATATTTGGACTGAATAAATTAAAATATTTTAATGATAAGATATTCTATCATGGCCTTGTCACACCTTGACGATTTAGCCTGCGTATGCCGATGTTTCAAAATTTCTCTAAAATGCTGGCATACACTGAAATATCAATGTTTTTTTTTTTTTCAATTTTGGGCATATACATAGCATATCCATAACAAGTTTGAAGTATACATAATGTATTAGTAACTTATATATAGACGCAATTATCTCATAGGTTATAAATAAGTTTTGGGTACGCTAGACGTTATCGACGAACAACTTGCATAACTTAACTACAACTTATGACCTGCGTATGCGGGACGTATGAGCCATACATTGACGACCTTGCTGCTCTATGACGTATGCCAGCGTGCTTCAGCATGCTCTAAACTTACATAACACTTACCTATAACTTTTTCGACGTACACCAGCGTATTCACTAAATTTTTCATATGTCAGTATATGCTGGCTAAATTGTCAAAGGTGTGACAGCATTGTACCTGTTCAATAAGTACATGTTCAAATAATGCATGCATGTGTTGGAGAAATAATCTTCAGTGTACTGAGATGTGTAACTGCAAAGCGGAAGGGAGTTTCTGCAACAACTTTCCATTGTTGTCGAGTGTTTCTGATTCATCAGACAGTGATAGTGATGAAGAAAGTGATAATGAACATTAGCATATTATAAAATCACTGATGTAGGTAAATATAAGTAAATCACAGTATGTAATATGGTTACATAATACTAACACACACACACACACACACACACCCACACACACATTATACATATATATATGATATATATTTATATACGATATATATATGTATATATATGTAAATATATATGTATGTATATGTAAATATATATGTATGTATATGTATATATATATATGTACATATATATGTATATATATATATTACACAATATTTAAATTATATATATTATCTAGTATTAGAAATCATTTTTTCTGAAATGAAAACATTAGAAAAATAATATGTTTATAATGTCAACATTGTTGTTTAGTGTATCTTTTTTGGCTTCAGAGAAATCTTCAATGCCAACATCACTAATATCACTAATTTCTACCTGTCTGTCTGTACAATGCCTTTGTTGCCAAAGAATGTTTATTTTTAAAACAAGCTTTGCCATGTCTCGTGCTTTAACAGCAGCAAATTGAAGGTTTTATAGATGGATTTTTAAAGGCAAATTTAATCATTTATAATAATGGCAGTAGTTAGCAATGGATGGTATAGGAGGTTGTGTTTCACTCTTCACTTCTCTGTTACTCTGCTTGGATGGGGTTGTACTTTTTCTGGACACAAATATCATAATGATGATGACAGTAATTGTAATGGGCATCATGAAGGCGACTGATAATAATTTCAGTTTCTATTAAACTATAATGTGTGATTCTCAAAATAAGTGGTTTTTTTTGTATTTTATTTTGCAGATGGTATGTCAGTGAAGGAGGTTGTTCAGAGTCTAGTGGATGATGCAATGGTTGATACTGATCGTATTGGAACTTCTAATTATTTCTGGGCTTTTCCAAGTAAAGCTTCCCAAACTGTAAGCTCATTTAGTATGTTAACGTCTGTCCTATTAGTCATAATAACATCAACAGTTTGTTTATAGTGTATATTTTTATTTAAACCCACATGGTTCTGATAATACCACACAGGCGCAATATTGGTCATATCAACATAATATAAAAAAAAAAGCAGAGGTATATCATTACATTAGCTATAGCTAAAAAACAAAATCAACCTAGCATTGGTAAAGCACTCCACGATGATACAACACTCTAGACCAGGTAAAACATAAATTTCTTTTTTAATTTTCGGTCAAATTTAGAATAATATAAATAAAAAACACTATTAAATGATGCTCTGCATTTCTTTGCCTTCCCAGAAAAAGGTTTTCACCCCCTCCTCCATGTATCCTTCCTGAAAACTTGCTGCATCAAAATAATTACATTCAAGTAGTCAAAAATTACATTTTATCACCTCATTTTCCCAGCTAGAACCTACTTTTCATTACATCCTCACCAAATCACTCCCACTTGTCAGTATTCCAGGTGTGCTTTAAAAGGGGGTTGTTGAATTTGTTGCATACATCTTTATGCCCCTGGATCTGACTACGTTGTTTATAAATGCTATGGTTTTTGTTCCACAGAGAAAGCGAAAAATATTGGACCTTTCAGAGGCTTTAGAACAAAGTGAGACAAAACACAAGGTTACAAAGAAGAAAATACAGGAAGCTGTTAAAGGAAAAGAAGATAGTGTAAGTAAATAGAATGAAATAAAAATAATAAGTGAATATATAAGTAAATGAAAGGAAAAAAGGGTGTGTAAGTAGATAGATTAAAAGGAAAAAGATTGTTTAAGTAATAAAAAAAGTAATATAAGAAAATAAAGTGAAAGTAAACTGAATGAAATTGGAGCATGTTAAGCTGGCTGAAAATGAAAAGAAAATTTGTAAGTAAATGAAATGAAAAAGGAGAAGGTTAATATGGAGAACGAAAAGAAAAGAAGGCAATGAAGATGAGTACATATTACATGTATTTGATTCAATGACCGGAGAAACACAATAATGCGAGGCTCTTAAGGCGGGCATTCACTGCGTCGAACAATGAACCCAACTCCGCGCCCTGGTATTCATAGGCAATGCGACGCCATCAGTTGATTTTCACCGTCAGGCTGAACAGAATGTCATTAAAAACGATTTGTTGTGCGTACGTTGTGGCATTGCGTTGGTTGATTACCTTCAGTCACTGTATGTGCCTAGCTTTAGAGGCATTGTAGGCTTGAAGCACTATATAAGAAAAGCATTAAACAATAGGCCTAAAGGTATGCTGCTAATACTCACCATGAAGCGGTGGAGTTTGTTGCTATGGATGTTTGTTTATATATCTGATAACTTAATGGTAATAATATTTTTGCCGCCAGCAGGCTTTTGTAAATAAGTTTGCATATTATAGTTAGTACGAAATGAGGCAATCAGTCTATCAATCATTTGCCATCTGAAATGTTATGGAGCTCATATACACTACAGATACTGTTTTTACTTTTTCCTGTGTAAAATAATATATAAAAGATATGGGACTTCTTTGTATATCATATACTACTTCTTTTGTCTGTGTCCGTTTTTGTCTCTATGTCATATTTTAGGACCCCTTTGGAAACAAGTTCTTTTGAACTTTCTCGGGTTATCCTGCCATTAATATTTATATTTTCTGTCCAATTTTCTTAAGTGTATATGATGTTCAAGGTAACTGAAAAATTTTTTTTTTTTAATAGATAAATATTTTTATAACCTTTTGTTTGTTTTTTTTTCAATAATTTTTCGTGTATGGTCTCTGAATTTGTGGTTTCAATAATTTTTATTGACATTTTTCGCAATTGTATTTTTATATTTTAATATATTTTTGTACTTCTGTTTATTTTAATGTTTATAATGCCGAACAAAAGAAAGAAAGACTATGAAATTTAATAATGTCTTTTCTTAGCATCATCATTAGGTTGATGAGCGGAAAAAGATCATTCTATAACATCACAAATTTTTTAAAAAGCAGCGGATGAAAGCCGTAAAAAATACATATCTTTCAACACAAGTCCTATAAAATCTGTAAATAATGTTGGAAAATAAAATTATCATAACAATCATGTTATTAACAAAAGATTAAAGAGAATATGAAATATATATTTATTTTTTATGTACTGGTAAATATTATTATTTGTCTATATCTTCCACATTGAGCAGACTTGGCAATTGAAAATTGAGGCAATCAATGATTAAGCCATTGATGTCTCTATAAAGGCAATAAAGAGAATTGCGTGGGATATCCCATCATAAAATGATTCCTTTCAATCAATTTCCTACTAATTTTCCTCTTACCTGTTCAATCCCATTGAGAATAAACTCAATTTTGAATAACAAATCGGACTTAATTTAATGCTGTTTAGTGCAAAATTGGACAGTCAGTATCCATGTTGCATCACTAATTATATGGTTGATATTTATAGAGTTAAAAAATGTATGTAAGGGGATAAATAAATCCACCCCCACATTTTACCTAATTTACATTTTGTCAAAATTAGTATCACGAATGATGATGTGGTTTCAGCCTTCTTTAAAAAACATAAAAATATATTGTCTCTATGCAACCAAGTCTTTAAGTGCTGGTTATTGTACTCTAATACAGAGAAAATTCATTGGATTTGATAAGAAAAATATGTAAAAACAGTATTACTTCCATGTACTGTATTTTATGATGTTAATATGATGGGGATGATGATGATGAGTGGTGATGACCATTAGATGCAAATGATGGATATTATATGATGATAATATTAATTATAAAAATATGAAAAAGTCAATGGTTGTAATATGATGAATACCATATCATATAATAATAAAATGATTAGATGATGATGATGATAAATATGATGATATGATGATAATTTGATTAGATGACAGTGATGATGATCAGATGGAGTTGATGATAATAATGAAATATACAACATGACATGACATGTTGCATAGTGTTGGTAATTCTATATTCTTGATGGACATTTAAACGAGATAATAAAGACAGGTTATACAAGATAATTTGTATGTTATACAGTATATGTGAATGGCTGATGTGTGAGGGATGAGGATGGATGACCTCTTGAGTGGTTATTGCTTATGTGAATGTTATTACAGTACTTTTATCAGTGGCAGATTCAGAAATTTGATATGGAGGGGGGGGGCACAGAGAAGGACTTTCACAGATGGATGGTCTATACCACCAGAGTCCCGCCATGGTTGTGGCTGAGGTAAAAAACATTATGATTGTGGCACCTCTCGAAGGCCAGAAATGGCACTCTCAGACTTTAAATTATAATATAATTTTCTTTCTATATCCATTGTTTAAATTTTGAAAAAATGTATTGTTAAATTTTGAAAAAATGTATTGTTTAAATTTTGAAAAAATTAGGTGGGTGGGAGGTGCTCATCCCACTTGAATCTGCCACTGTCTATCAACAGTGATGATGGCAACTGATGATGATGGCGTCAGGAACATGCTAAAGGTAGATTCACACCGAATCCGAATTCGGTTCAACGTTTTAGTACGTGCCTCTGATCTTTACCACTGATTCGATATTCTTTTTTTGTTTCGTTAGCCATACGAACCAAATTCAGATTTGGTGTGAATGCAGCTTAAGGGTGACGATGATGAGGGTGATGGTGGGGATGATGACAGCAATGATAGTGATGGCAGAATCAGTAGATAATGCTTGTGCTGGTTATGATGAGGATGATGGTGGTGGTGATAATGATGAAAATCATCATCATTCAGATATTAATTTCTTTTTTTTCATGCTTTTAAAGACATGTTCACATGATAGCACTCCCCTACAATAGTGTTTTCTGAGCCTAGATCATAATGAATAATCTTAGTTTTCATCTTATTTCATTCATTTTCTGTGGTTTTCAAGTTATTTGACTTTAGGTAATCCTCATAAGATTTTTGTGTTGTGTTTCACTTCTTCAAAAGCATTTTGAGCTATATTTAACACCAAGCAAAACTAACAGGTACTTTCAATCTAGTCGTTTCTGAGAATTTTTCTCTATCCGCTTACAAATTTAATTGGAATTATGTCTATAGGATGAAAGGACAGATGTATTGAAGGAATTACAAGAAAAGGAAAAGCGATTAGCAGAAGTTTCGGCGGAGTTGGAAAGGTTTCGAGATTGTGATCCTGAAGTGATGGATAATATGAAGAAAGAGAGTAAAACAGCGTTGGAAGCAGCCAATCGTTGGACAGGTAAGCTTATAAGTCAGGTTGTGCCATGTGTATGTATGTCTCCCACCCTCACCACCAAGTCGGAAAAAGTCCACATTTTGAACTTCCCATCTAAATTTGGGAGTCTTCCTCACTCTTTGTATGCAAGCAGAACCTTAAATCACACCTTTCCTTTAATTTGTCTTTGTTTTCTCTTAATTTTCACCTTTGTTGTTAGGAAAGGATGCCAACACTGTTTGAACGCCTGTGAGTCATGTACCTGCTTGTCAGTGGTCTCAAATTGCAGGTGAACGGTGTGATAGTGTTGGTTCCTCTGCATTAGTCTGTTTCGGTTATTTATTTTAGCATGGTTAGCTTAGTTGACCTACTTAGAATATATTTTTCCATTTTTGCTTTATATACAGCACACTAGCGACCATGTATTATGCACTATAGAATTATTTAACCATTACCATTTAAAACAGTAAAGCGTGTACTAAATATAGAATTTATTTTCTGTATTGCAGATTGAAAAGAAATCCTTAATGTTTACATTTTAACCAGTTTTCTATTGTTAGGGTAGTATTTGAGCATTGAAGCTTTTCGCAGAATACAAAGCTGAAATTGATTTAAATATACTACATTTATACTGAATCTACGATACAACTGGCTCAGATCTTGACCCTGCCAGGGATTCTAGGTAACACTATTATACCACCACCCCCTCTCTTCCCCACTGAAGACAATCCTGGATATGTCCCTGCCAGGAAATGAAAGATATTAATTTTTATCTATAATGATCTTTGTGGTAAGAATTACCTATTGTTGAGCGATAATTTAGTTTATTAGAATGCTGATGATGTTTGATAAAGTGGTTTTAAACACAATGGTATAAATAGGACAGTGCATTAGGGCACATCATGACTATACATGGGTATACAACACTTTCTTTGTCAAATATCAGATTTTATGAGTCAAATAAATGTGATATACCCATATTTGGATGTAATATGGCATTACCGTGCCCTTATACTGATGAGCATATCACACAAATTTGTCACATAAAATTTAATATTGTTTTGACAAAAAACTCGGTTATGCCCATATTTAGTCATGATGTGCCTATGTATGGTCATGATCGGATGTTAACCTGACCATATTTTTGCATGTTACATGCTTTTGTCGAATAAAATTTAATAGACAGGGCTTAACGATCATAAGAGCATTCACACCACATACTTCCGCAAACTGTACCCGATAATTCCATATTTTACTCGGTATTATTTGACTTATGTAGATCATCCTATATTTCCGTGATTCATCCTAATTTCACACCGCAATTTAAATTGATGTGAATCCTACGAAGATCATTAACGGCGAACTGACATGATCACCATCAATCATTTCCTAGGCAACGCCAAGCTAATTAGGTCAATTGTAGTTGCTAATTAAATACGACACAGATGCTAGCTATACTCTGGGCCAGTAAATTGCATATTATCTTGATAATGTGATAATGAGGACACTTTGAAGCTTGTTGTCTAAGGGTGCTCCCCTTACAGCGTCAGAATTCTTGGTTCAACTCTTGCAAAAAAATAATATCTTTCAAAAATAAATACCAACTATTCTGTTTGCATTGGGTTTGTAAATTCAGTACAATATTTAAATTTATTACTTTTTTATATTTAAGGAAGTTATTAAATTGAAAATTACAAAGAGAAAATATTTTCCTTGCAAATATTGTACAGATGCGTAAATAATATTGTTCCTATATTCTAAGGCTCTGTCTCTATCAAATGTAATGTGACAAAATATGTGTGATGTGCCCATATATGGGCATGTTGATATCCTATCACACCCAGAAATATGGCATATTACATTTATTTGCCACATAAAATGTTTTATTTAAATCTATGATGTAACTTTATTTTCTGTCATTTTAAATTTATTTATATTACTACTGCTGCTGCTGCTGCTACTACTACTAGACTACTACTACTACTGCTGCTACTACTAGACTACTACTACTACTACTACTACTAGACTACTGCTGCTATTGCTGCTACTATACTACTAGACTACTACTGCTGCTCCTACTACACTACTACTGTTATTGCTGCTACATACTATTACTAGCTGCTACTACTTCTGCTATTTCTCCTCCAGCTGCTACTTGTTTTATTCTTAATACTGTATATGGTTTTATTTTTATGAATATTGACATTGTTATTATTATTGATGAATGTCTTCCATCCCTAGGTGAAAGCGACTATAATAAAATTTATATTATCATTATTCATATATATTGTACTGAAGTACTGTCACATCATCACATAAAAGCTAAGATGTAATGTACTACTGATTGGTGGTGCTATTGACAATGCCATCAGCTACATAATCTGTTTTTACTAGATATTAAAATGGCCTGCCACATGTGAATTACCATTAATACTGCTTTCAAAATGGAGAGCTTCCACTAAGACTAAAACTACATCGATAGCATGCAGCACAGGGGAAAAAATAACAGATCATGTTGAACAGAAAATGCATCAAGAACATGATACAAATTTCTACGTTTTTTAGTATATTGAGGTAGGAGTGACATTTACTGATACAAAATAAAACTACTCTCTTGCTTGCAGCCCCCATTAAGCCAAATAAACAAATGAGCGTATTTGTCATCTACCGGGCATCCTTTTTATTTCTTCGGGTTGCGTATTTTTGTTTTTTTCAAGAGGGAAAAACACCAGAAAAATCCTATCATCCAAATAAAGCAGTGAGCACTATGCCTTGCAAAGGCGTTCCGTATATTCTCGCATATAAGACAAGGCTTAAAATAGTTGTCTTATAAGCACAACATACCATTTTTTAATTTTTTAAATCGTGTTAGTCTTATGTGCGTAACACATAAATTAACTATTGAAATGAAGCTACTAACTGCCAGAAATGAATGCCATACAAGATGGTGGTTGTTTAATTTGTCAGTTGAGTTTTACTTAATGCTTTTTAAATGCTGATACAATGAAATCCATGATCTTTTACCAAGCCAGACCTTGGACTTATATGGTGATTTGAAAAATTTAATGATGGCTTACTCCCTGTGGGTCGTATCGAAAGGCGGAATTCCGACGGCGAAGTTTTTGGAATCGTCTTATACACCATGATAAAAATCATCCAAAAATCTTCTCTAGCTTGGGAGTCATCTTATATGCGGAATTGCATTATATGCGAGAATATACGATACTTGTGAGACAGTGTGTTGCCATCTACAAACCAGAATTTGTATAGGTAATAACAGTTATGACCACAGCTTGTTTCTGTTTGGAAGCAAAAGTCCCTTACTTCGTCATCATCATCTCGGTTTCTAAAATTTCTTCCCTTCCTCATGTAAACTGGGGGCATATATTGTATTCACACTACATGAGTAAGAAATTAATTCAAAATGTCAAACTAATTCACAACCCTACCAGGCCAGGTACCAATTTGTCTCCTGGGTGGAGACAAGCAACACGTATATATATTACATTTATACCCAATGACACAAGCAAGTTGCCAGAATCCAGTGACATTTTGATTAGAAAATCAAAGCCTTACTTTTACATACATTATATTCCTTCATGATCACACAAATATTGATAATAGTTTATCTCTGTGTTTACTTTTTAATTATTTACTGTTGCAAAGTTTATAGACCAAGCATCCTTTATGTCTCCTTAAGATACATCATAACTCATCCAATCAGATAAAAGGATAATTAAAAATGTCCTCGGCTATCTGTAGAGGAGTGATATATGATCGTGAACAGAATCGCAGTAAACAAATTAATCATAACACATACACTTATGCGGTGATTGATCTCAGAACCTGATTGAAAGCTGTGACAAGATGATAAACTGTGGTCACACTTCAGCTACAGTTTTTAATTAATTCTCTCGGTTTCTTGAGGGAAAGGCGATCCAGCTGATAAAAGCCGGTTTCAATTCTGGTTATCAGTGTGCCCAATTAAGACTCATTAAAGCAGAAAACTTAAAAGTGAACGAGGAAGAAGGCACCATTAATCAGAAATGGATCACAAGTAAACTTTTGATGAAGTCTCTCTTGGCATGCGTCTGCATAACAACATGTCAAGTCGCGGATGATAATGTGCTTGGTCTGGTCTGAAGTAGACCATTTGTTTCAGTGTTTATATTACTGTGTTGTCATTGTGAAATTAACTGTTTATAGTTCATTACAAATCAGTGACTAAATTAGATTACTGCATTATCTCATGATTATTACTTTTTAATGTCATCATTATCATTGTCATTTAATTTATTTCTATCCAAATTAAATTAAGGCTTGATAAAATGACTTAACTAACTATAAGAACAAAATATAAATACTGCAGTTAGAATTAAATTATATTTTCAGCAATATACACATTTTTTTTCCAGAAGGATAATTATAAATTATATTATATATAATAATTTCATGTAATATATGGATGCAGAATAATAACTACTACTAAAAATTACAGTCTGTTGAAAGCCGCCAACATCGTTGTCAATTTTGTTAAGATCATTATATTATTCCTATTTTTACTAAAATCATTATACCACTAAGTATCATTGTCATCATTATTATTGTTATTATAATTTGTTACTGTTAATATCGTTAGACTATATGCATTTATATAGTTGCTATTTATTTGTTGTGCTGATTTTTAATATTAATATTTATACATAAAATAAAATTTAAGAGTTGAAACAGTAAATGAATATTGTTTACTTACTGTAATGATCCAACTGCTTGCATATAACTTTCATCGAATATTGTCAAAAAAAGGCAAAACCATAAAGTACAGCTAGAAATATTTTCAGTTCTGTTTTCTCTCTGTTTTTCTTAAACAAAATTCTGCTAAAATGCTAAGTGAAGGAAGCGAATGACAAATTGTGAATGATAAAAGTCACTTTTAAGTAATTAAGAGTTGAATTTGGCCGTACAATGCCTAAGGTCTGTACTTGATTGTCTTGGTTTCCCGCTTTTAATATTCCTGTGGACCTTGATATGAACTTAGCTAAACTGTTAACGATCCTTAGATGGCTACGAGTCTGGTTGCCGAAGTTCCATTAAGGATTTCGCCGTACCATCCTAATTACGCTTCAGTAAATAGCTCCGATAGCGTTCTATTTGACTTTGTCAGTAATTGTCAACTTATAGCATTTCATTTGTCCTCTCAATGTCATATAGAAATATTTGGTCCATTATACACACTGCATCTTGATAATTTAGTTTGCATTGTTGAAATTGCTGACTTTTTTTTATTGGGATTTTTTTTCTGGTTTACATATATAAAATTTTTTACACGTTTTTTGTTAAATCAAATGGAACATTATACTATAAATATGATTTAGTATTATATAATAAATTATATTTTATACACATTGCACTTTGATGATTTAGTTTGCATTGTTGAAATTGTTAGGTTTTTTAAAATGTTTTCATTTATTTATTTATTTTTTTTTTGAGGGAAAATTATTATTTTCATCCTGATTTACATATTTCAGATTTCTTTACATGTATTCTGTACAAAAAAAAGGAAACAAAGGGAACATTATGCTATAAATATTATGTAGTGGGTTGGAGTTGAATACTCGAGTTTAGTGGTTAAGATGCTTGCCTTCTATTTTCAGAGTTCTGGGTTCGATTCCTGTGACAGCAGGGATTTTTCTCACAACTAAATGTAACTTCACTCCCTAAGCCTCTTGAAGAGACTTTGTTGATAAAAGCATCATGTTTTTGTTTTTTTTAAATTTATTTAAGAGGGCCCCTGAATATCAGCCGACCTTCTATGATACACTGCAATGAAAGGGTCACCCTCTATAAATATGGTTTTAAATAAAATGAAATATATTTTAACAGAGTGTGAAATTTGAAGGACATATAATGTTTAATGATATACTGTATTGAGCTAATTCCCTTTTATTTAAATATTATATTACGTTGTACTACGGTACGCATTGCATTTAGTGAATTTTGTGGCAAAAACCAGCCAAACCAGTCACTCGTCGCAAAAATCAATACTTAGTTATTGAAGAGTAAAAAGAGAGCTATGAAATGGTGAAAGAATAATATAAATCCAATATATTGTTATGAAGTTACAGGAGTTTAAACATAAAACTGTTTAAAGAACAATATTTGAGAAATCAGCCTTCAAAGTTCATGATCTTGGGCATTTCTTAGGAACCATTACCAAATCATTAAAAATTGTTGTTTTAACATTGAAAATGGGGAAAATAACAGCATAGTATAATATATAGATATGAAATTTAGGTTAGTGTAATAAAGTAGATTAAAAAAATTTTGACATTCCAGCATCTTTTGGCCATTATCTGTGAAGCAGGGTTCGCGACAAGTGACTGGTTTGGCTTGTCTTTTGCCACATTTGTGTCCAGCATAAAGTTGTTTTAAACCATCTTCCAGATTTTAACAAAATAAATTAATAGTGGATGATTCAAGTTATTCATTATAGCATCTACTTTATAAATTCTTAATTATATATACATTTCCAATGATCATACACAATTTTTTTCCTCCATAAATCTATATGTGCTCAAAATCATAAGTAGGATATGGCTGGATTAGAATTGACCGGTCACAGCATGTATGCCGTATATTCGGATGCTTTGCATTAAGTTATAAGGCTTAATAAGGTATGGATGCTATTAATTATGCATATGCGACTATTAACCTGACTGGGGTAATACCATCGCCACTAAAGCTCTCAGTCACACTATCAACAATCACAGTTAATGTCAACTTTTTACTACAACTGGATTACATCAATCATTGTTCTTCGCTTTTTCAAACATCAACGTATATATTTATGGCCGTAAGACATGCTGTTTTTTAAATGGCAAATGCAGAAGAGCAATTTGCATTCCGTATATATATTTGGCATACAGCTTGTCTCGAGGATAACTGTTATTTGTCTTTGCCAATTTGCATTAGGTTTTTTCAACTGCTGAATTCAGATAGTGAATTCAATCATTCCACCATTTCAGCCCAAGGAAAAAAATATATTGTTTTTCCTGTCTTTGCTGCCCAATTATTTCCTGCCCCCTGAATATGAACTCTATGTTTTTTATAGCCATACACCATTTTACCACAATTTCTTGTAATAAAGTATCCTATGGTTTTATGCATTTTCACTGAAATACTATCATTTAGCCTGTAATACCATAGCCATTAGAAAAGACATTTTCTGTTTTTTAAATAGATTGGACGAAAAACTGAAATCACTGGCCTTATCCATAGAAAATCATGAGAAGTTTTTGTAGCTTAATATAAAACTTACTTTGATTTCATTATTTTTTGAATATTATTATTATCATTATTATTACTATTAGAATTTTAATATTTGGTGACAACCTCTAGCACCACTCAGATATCTGATTTTTTATTTTATTTTATGGAAACTTCACTCAGATATGGTAGGGAAAGAACATTTTATTTGATTGGCTTGTTAGGAATGACATTGTATTATTCATAATGATTTTACTATATATCTCTGTCAATTTTTAAGAGTAAATTCTCATCTTGTATTACCGTAATAAAATTACTGTAATCATTGGATATATTTTGGTTATTAACTGTTTAATGATTTACATATTTTGTTTAGTATTTCCGTATTTAGTTGAATGAATTCCCCAAAGGGTGTTTTGTTGAGAAGGGTTTTGAGGGGGAGTTTTTTCAGGAAAGGCGGTTATTTGAAAAAGGTGGTTATGTTTTTGTTGGCGTAAAATGGATACCTAGATACTCAAATAAATGGCCCTTAATTAACACATAATTGCCGTCAAAATGTGTTATTGCAAGACTTATTGATACCAACCAGGTTAGAAAAAAATGTCATTCTACTGGTGTAGAACAATAATAGATGTGTTGAGAATGTTTCTTCCCTTAGTTTTGTTTATAGTCATTTGGGGGGTGGGGGAATTTATTCAATTAAAAATTATAAGCCTCTGGGCGTATATTTAATAGAGGCGTTTAATCCAAATAAGGCTCTGGGGGGGTGCATTTATTTGAGGGGGAAGGTGGGGTGTTTGTTTGGATAAATACAGTATATATAACATAAAACTTTGTATTCTGTGCATTTACTGGTTTTATTTATCCACTTCAATATGCAAGCTACATGTAGAGAAGTTCAAGTTAAATTAATTCAGTAAAGTATCTCGGATGCATACTTTGCTCACATGTAGATTATTAAACCTCTTCAACATATTATAATTCAAGAATCCAGCTCATCACCTTTACAAAATGCGAACAGAATTGAATATATAGAACAGATGAAAAATAAAAGTATTAAAAAGGATAGAGACTTATGATGATGAATATATTAATTTTGATTAATACATGAAATGTTAATATGAAAACGTAGTAGCCCTATTCGATTTAATTTTAATACATCATAACCAATATATTACTGTACCATATTATTCAAATAAATGCCTGTTTTGAATAAATGCTTCCCTCGAATAAACGCCCCTTCCAGAGCCTCATTTGGAATAAACACTTCCCTGAAATAAACACCCTGTCATTTATTTTTTCCTAGAATAAACGCTCCCCCAAAAATGTCTAAACAAAACTAATAGAAGCAACATAGTTCTCAAAGACATTATGTTATTACTCCAGTAGAATTAAATTTTTTCTAACCTGGTTGTGATCAATATGTCTTTATGATCGCGCATAACACATTTTGTTAATTATTTGTTGTAGTTCACATTTACAGTGAAATTCTGGGCATTTATTTGAGGGTATTCGTATCAATTTTACACCAAAACAAAAATAAAAACACCTAAAATAAAGCCTCCCTCGAATGAATTCCCCCTCAAAACCCTTCTCAACAGTAAACCCAATGGGCTTTTTACTGTCATTTAGTTATATAGTCCGGTCTATCCATATTATTGTCTTTTTTGCTATTTGTTGGTTATTTGTGTGTTTTTATTTAATTCTCAATAAACATTACATGGAAATGTTATTAATATATTAATTATTATTAATATATTAGTATGCCAGCGTGTGATGTTTACAAGCTTTGGTTATTTTGGTTACACAACTTAGTTTATTAATATATGATTTGAAAGTGAAATAAATTGATTGATATTTAAATATTTATTTATTTTCAGATAATATATTTTCAATTCAGAGCTGGTGCCGGAAGAAATTTTCCATCGAAACGAAGAAGTTGAACAAACAGTTCGGCATCCCTGAAGATTTTGATTATATTGAATAGATACTTATTACATAAAGTGTAAATAATTGTTTGTATGAGTGTAGAGATTCTACCAGTTTAGCAGTTCCAAGTTTAAAATTAATTAGCATTTTATGAAGGCCTGTATATATTTAGAAATGTTTTGTATTTCATTAGTGTTTTTTAAGAGATGATTAAAATTCACTTTGTTTAATATATGCATAAACCTCTAGTTGCCATTCGTTTTGTGTGTTGTTTCCATCATTGTACAACAAATACACAAAAAAACTAAGATTTTTATTTATTTATTTATTCACTTTTGCAAACATACGCATTTAACACGGCGGCACACACAAGTGTAGTGCATTTAACTTTAATGACAAAAATATGATATTACAAGTTCAGTAGACAAAAAGGAAAAGACTTAACTAAAATATGTGAATAAAAACAAAATAATTATTGATTACCATTAATCTTATTTGTCATGTTTTGTCATATATTTATGTCCTAGGCATATATAAGTAAGCAGCAGTTAAATTTTGTTTTACAAGTAGCATTGCATTATCTGGGTATCTACATTGTTGAAAGAAATCTTTCCTCCATGTTATATAATAGGTAACATTTAATGAGGACTTACTAGTAGTACATGTGTCAAAAAAAAACCATATCAGAATCTCATTGGGATATTGTTATTGCTGTTATTGAAGGTAATATTAATTGATTAATCCATATGCTAACTATATTCTTCTTATTATCATTTGTCCTTCAAATTAGAGATTACTTATACGTCTTTTAGGAGGTACTTTGTGTACTAACGATGATTGAGAACTCTAGACTATTCTTAAAACCATAAATGTGATGTGATAGAGGAGCACATACACCACTCTAAAAACTACATCACCCATTATTATCATTTCATCCATTAACTTAAAAGGATACTTAAATTAAGATTTTCTTTTTTAGAAGTGCTAAGACCGTGACTTTTTTTTTAAAAAGGTAACATCTGTGAAGATGGTATTCCCTTGTGAGTGATAAATCCTCTTAAAAGATGTTAACTAATTAAGTCGCCGCAAGGCTTCAGATGATCTATATATCAAATTTGCACGTTTCGTCATAATTGCAGCCAATTACTTCATTAAGACCATATGGATGTTTATATTTTTGGTCAGAATAAACGCCTTGGTACAACAAAATTATAATATTAATATATTGGGTATGCTATACTTACTCCCATAAGAGCCTTTATCTTCATGTGCTATAAAGTTCAACAAAGCATTACTATCTAGGATATATCACAGATTGAAAGTGCACCCTCTATTGTGGATGTAGTACTGTAAGTCTAGATTAAATTATATGTACTGTATAAATAGAAAAAAATATAAGTTTGTATCTTTCAGACTACTGTAATTAATAGACTGCCTCTACTGCCAAAGTATTAATGTGGATATAAATATTGTTTGTGATATGTTGAAAATTCTTAGAATAATATATTTTTCCCACATATTAATTATCAATCGTATATATTATACAGACAAGATCTGTAAATAAGCAAAAAATTCACTTGGTTTGCTCTGTGTTTAAACTTTCAGTGAAGTTAATAACTTTCTTTTTAAGTGAGCTATTCAATGTTTTAATTGAATTTCAGATTTTATGACAGACATAAGATTAAGTTAGGATTTTTTTTTAAACTATCAAACATTTTGAATCTAAATCGCAGATATGTATAGTGCCTTTGTTGACAAGTAATGTGTCAGTTATATAAAATGATAATAAATATTAAATAAGAGATTTTATCCATTCAGAATAAAAAAAAAATCTTCAGATTTAAAGTGCACCCTCTAATGCCAAAGAATAAATCTGGATATACTGTACAATGTATAGAGATTTCATCTATTTTGAGACTAAGCACCCTAGACTCCTAATAAGTCTACATAATTAATTAGTGGAGATTAAGAGTACTGCTACTGTTTTGAGTACAAGCTTTTTTAACATGATGATTTTGATGATAAATTGAAGCGAATGACTCATGGCTACATCAGCCAATTTAATGTTCTCTCGCTTTTTTTGTGCTCCTTGATGTGCTTTTTCAGCCATTACTCTTCGTTCTTTATTCATCCATTTGTCAATATAAATTGATGTGGAATATATTAAGTGCGTCTGATCTAGCATTTTCAGAAGTTCAATTCTAAGCAGAAAAAAAATCAAATCAGTTTAAGCTGAATCTGTTTTAATTTGTACATTAAATTTTTAAAAAAATCATGTATTTAGATTTCTTAATAAGTTACTGCAAAACAAAATTCATACACTTTGGCTCACAGAAATTTCTGTAACTTTTCCGTAATGTTTCCAGACCCATAAATCTAAATTTCTAAGACCAACGGTTAGTTATGAAGCTGTGCTGACGCAAAACAACCAAGTGCCCCAAGCAATGAAACGCTAATACAGTAATTTTCCATGAGTTTCAAGGTTCTGGAAATTATACTAAAAGGAAAGATGGTGTAAGGGTGAGGGTTATGACGGGCCAATTTAGCACCTATGGTTTGTGGTTTGGGAAGGGTATCCCCTATTAAATATATGCATAAGTATATTAAATATATACTGTATTACTACTGCAAGGGAGTGGGCAAACATCCCTCCTGCCACCCTTCCCCCCCCCCCTTTCCCAATCATAAATTTGAAATAAGTTATCAACTGATATTAACGATGTGTATGGGAAGTGCATCCCATTTTGCGGGAGTTGTTAGAAACTGGTGTATTTGTAATTGTTGCAGTTGGAATCTAATCTTGCGAAGCAATTGTACTATTCTGTGCCTGGAGGTAATCAGGAATTTGTCAGTGGCAGATCCAAGAAATTCAAAATAAAAGGGGCCAAAGAGAGGACTTTTAAAGATGGAAGGTCAACACCACTTCAGTCCCACCATCGTTGGGAAATTGCATCTCTAGATGGCTGGAAATGGCCCTCTCAGATTTAAATTAAAATTAAAATTTATTTTATTTTCAAAAATTTAGGGGAGACCCAGGCTTAATTGTCTCTCTTGAATCCATCCATGTTTGTATTGTATGGTGGTACAGTATATAGCTCTTTGATTTTCAGTCACTTCGAATCATTAAAGAACATACAAGATTACATACACATGAGAATAATTTATTGTAATTGATCAGTACTTTGGAGTACTGTATAATTATACCCCATGCTTTCCTTGAACGTTGATTATATTTTCCCAAGTTACAGCTTAAACTTACAAGGATAGGTGTTTGGTTTTCTTATTGTGTACAGTGATGAATGACATCTTGAACATCTCTTCAAATGATGCATCATTGTGATACGTTTCTGCCCTCTAGCTCCAAGAGGTGGATGGCAGCTGGATGGCTTCTCCACTTCTGGAATTCCAGAATACTCCTTAATGGAATTTCCAATATAAACCTTCAAGTTGTTTATCAATTAAACTGATAGATTATTTACAAATTCTTAATGAAAACATTTAGTGTATGTGTATTTGGACTAATTGATATTAATATTCTAAATCAGAATATCTGGTGGATTTTACTGTTTGAACATTAGAATAGTAGTTTGAACATTTAATGTGCATATTTGTACCAAATACTGTATATAAAATAATCTTTAGATTACACATATGTTCCACATAAAACAAAAATAATATGTTTGAGGACATAAATATATTTTAACAAATAGTTTGTCCAGACCGGCCAAGGTTGTGGAAAAAAATGCTGGACACTTAAATGGTGGGGGGGGGGGTACACCCATGGTGTGGCTGAGGTGAGAACAATTTAAGAATATGGCTCCTCTAGATTGCAGTAAATGCATATTTAAACACTGTAACACCTGTAGGTGCGGGGGACATATACAATAATGAAATAAACAAAATTACCATCTTGGGCAATTAATTTCTTCATTTAGAACATTTATTTTGTAGAATACAGAGTATATTCCACTCTTGTTGTATGCGTGAGCTTATGCAGTAAAGAAATGTGGGACTATTAACTGCATTTTTAAAATACAGGACCACAGGAAAACGTTTCTATCTGCAGGACTTCACACTAAATGCAAGATAGTTGGCAGGTCTCTCTTTATTCCTGGCAGATCCAGTAATTTGAAATAGAGGGGGGCCCAGAGAGGGACTTCCACAGTTGGAGATCTATAGCAGCTCAGCCCCAACATGGTTGGGGCTGAGGCAAGACAATTTATGATTATGGCACCTCTAGAGAGAGCAGCTTAGCTCAGTCGGCTACTCTGGTGGTGGCCGCTGTGTGCGCTGAACCGTGGAGATCTCTAGGTCCCCGGTTCAATTCCCATCGCTGCCTCTCCTTGTGTTTCAGCTAGAGGGCTGAAATGCAAGTTACAATAGCGCATTATGGTCCATGTACATGTTAAAGAACGCAGTACACTCTTCGGAAAAGATTAGGGGATTGTCTCCCGGTGTACTGCCCAATCACCACCAGAAGGACCCCACTAGAAATAAGTCTTCTTCTAGACTTTCGTGGGTTATCCTTGGTGTTTACACCGAATAAATCCAATCCAATCCAATTCATGACCAGAAATGGCACTTTTAGACTAAAATTTTTTTTTTTTTATTTTGAAAACTTTAGTGGGGGGCTGTAATATAATAATTGTTATGTTCTGAAACATGTGAACCCCTGTTTTTTGTTTTCGACTCCCTCAGTGTATATATAATGTATATATCGATATGGTAGAAACCAAAATAAAATAATCCATAAAAAGCAATACACTGTTAACTTGTGATTTAATGGAATATAAACTCTAAAATACAACTCTAAATGTCCAATTACTATATATAATGATTTTAAATTACTTAAGCATACTTTTACGCAAGTTAAAATATAAATATCTTGAGTGTAAAAGTGTGTGTTGTCTGTTATCTACATTAAAAGGAGGTCACTGATCTAATATACAAAACAAACATTAGCTCAGACAGGCACTTTATAAGTACATTTCATTTTCTATTTATAACATTTATTTTTTTTGGGGGGTCTTGCTAGATAATAGTCTTTAGTTTGTCGGCATCTATGTTTCCGCCGCACAACACAACGCCTACTTGTGTCAGTTGGTGTTCATCAATAAGACGTTTGAAGTGACTAGAACGCACGGCGGCTACTCCTACGGCTGCTGACGGCTCTACGAAAAGCTTTGCCTTCTCAAGAACAAGTCGAAGATTATCCTGAAAAAAACACACCAAATATTGTATTCAATATTAAATATATGATACAATTAAATATAATATTTAACTTTATTCATTTAAAGATTCAGAACAGTATTGGATTTGTTAGAAATACTGAATTAAAGGGAACATGTTTTCTACAAAAAAATAAATAATTACAATTAAGAAATGAATAGTAAATCAGAATTGTGATTTCTGTAATGAAAATCATGTGTCCTTGAATCATTGGAGCTGCAACATTACAGATATTGCAAACTGCACCACCCTGTTGGGGAGGGGGGTTATCATGCCCACCATTTCCCCTCCCCCAAGCAACATAATTATGCTCGAGTAGTTAAAAATTAACTCATCACCTTATCACCTCACTTAATCATCGAGTTCCCACTTAAATTTTGTGCCCCCATCAGCCCCTTACCCCCACATTTCAAGACTCCAAGGTACACCACTGGTGAAAAGCATCAATGCCTTGGCATTGCATTCTATCATACAGATATACTATAAACTGTTATATTATTATATAAATAGGATATATAGGGCAATTTTATGATTTCTATGCATTCTATATATGATTCATACTAAGAAAAAATTCATACACAGATTTCTTCCTCGGTCACCAGAATGACATCATCTAGATGGTCCCGTAAAATTGGCCATGTTGCTTCTCCGATGGACACTCGCAGACCGTCGGCAACAGTGTCTGGATAGGTTTCGTTTTTCAGATGTCGATTGGCCTTCATTGATCTTGCGCAGTCATCTGCCATCTCTGGCTCTGCTGCATATATTTTGATAGAGGGCTTCAGAGCCTTGGCTGCTAGACAGATACCAGAGAGCAGGCCCCCTCCACCCACTGTTGCAACTATGGCATCAAGATTTGGAACCTGTTTCACATACAAACAAAAGAAAAATATGTAATTTGTAATATTAATGTCGACAATAATAACTAGAGCAGTCACTCATCCATAGAGAGCATACCTCAGCCCTGTGCCTGAATTCCAATAATAAGCAGGCTGTGTATATTGCCCTTAAGAAAATAAAGGAAACGCCAATCATATTTAGGTACATGATTTTCTTAAGTGCTGCCTGAAAATGATTCCATTATTTTCCTTTATCCTATCCTTGAGGGTAAATAGTTCAATTTCCATGACCTTGACCTTGTCTTTGACTTTTCCTTCAGAAAATTACGTGGTGTCTTTCTTTGATTACTATATACCATTCCACTAATTTTTATGATCTATTCATTAGTTTTTACGTATTTTGGGAACAGATAGACAGACAGACAGCAGCATAACTTCATTGGCGGCGGTAACTATAAAACTGATAATTATTATATCAAGAATGATAGTATGGTAAAATAACAATCACATAGACACACACTGTGGACATGAGAAATCCCTGTGGCCCCTTGTTGCTGAGCAAGTAATTTACTATACTGGAACTCAATCCCCTCACTACTTCTCATCTTGTCCCCTTCTAAATTATGTCCCTCCCCCACTCATGTTAATAACCCTACATATGCCACTGCTTATATACACTTCATATTGTGATTTAAAAATCTAATATTACATTTAATTATTGTAATGATAACCCATGATTTTTTGATTGCCTGATCTGCACTTTACTACTGTTCCACATCACTATATTATGATGTTATATTATTTTTAAATATTTGAATGTCTATAAAAGTGATCAACCTCTAGAGGGGGTACTTCAATAAATAAACATTACATCACTTTACATAATCCTATGATGTTATTTATCATATATTTAAATGTCTAAAGAAGTGATTAACCTCTAGAGGGGGTGCTTCAAAAAATTAGTAGTTGACACTGTGAAGTAGGAACAAACCTGCTGTAGAAATTCTAAAGCAATGGTTCCCTGTCCAGCGATCACTTCTGGGTTTTGAGAGGAATGCACCATGTATCCGTTTGTTTCTTTGATTACTTCCTTAGCTTTCTCCTCTCTAGCCTGGGACAAAAAAAATAATGAAATATATGAAATATTAAATATGAAATAAATAAAGGGGGTCAAAATTGTCAAGCTTTTTGGAATGTCTTAAAAGGTAGTAATCACAGTAAACATGTTTGCTGCTTGAAGACACCAGTCTCTAACAATATAACCTCAGATAGAAAGGAAATGAATAAAATAGCTCTTGATCATTGTAAAACTCTAGGTCAAATTAATAGAAAAACTCCTGCTGAAAATGATACTAATAAAATTAAAACTTCTATTACTTCTATAGAGCCACGTATAATGACCTTCCTAAAAGCCATGGGTGTCTTTCAGATATTGACATTAATTTTGATATATTCTACGATCTAAAAACAATAAGTCACCTGGATGGTGCAGATATAATATGAAATAAAATTTTTTTAAATGGTGGAAACTGCTTGACCAGGTCAATTATCATTATTCGACAGAATAATTGCTCTCGAAAAAATCCCCAATGATTGGAACAAAGGCATTATCGTTCCAATATTTAAAAAGGGGGACTGCAGGGATTTCTTTAACTCTGTGTATATCTAAAATTTTTAATCAAAAATCATCTCAAACAGTATTTTCAATTTTCTCAAAGAAAAAAATGTTTTATTATATTTCCAAGGTGGATTTAGGCCATCACATCATCGTTTTCTTATGAATGAATTTACCATATTGCTTAAGAAACATGATTTAGGTGTTCGTATACACAATGCATGCATGGGAAGCCTTTTCGGGGTATATGATATTGTGTTGTTCGCAAATGATGAAAGTAAACTGAATGAGATGCTTAATTTAGCTTCTACATATGCAAAGACATGGAAGCTAAATTTTAACCACAAAACATAAAAAATCCTTATTGTTGGGCAGCGCATTGACAATGATGAAGCAGTGGAAATTGGGTATATATTATATTATATTTCAGAGGTTGAGTCTTAAGGTGCAAGTTGTTAAGGGTTAAGGGACTGTACATTGTACAATTCAGTTCACAAGAGTGCAAAATATCCTTGGGTGGGGAGAGGAAGGGTTGTTACGCATGATTGTTGGGAGACCGGATGATGGTTTTCGGGTGACAAAATCATTATTTTAAATGTGTGCTCTTTCTAGGAAGGGGAAAGAAGATATTGGATAAATGTATGTTTTGTGCTGTTGTGACGGTCATAAAAACAGTGGATGGCTGGCTCCTAAGGCACTTGGGTTTCATTGTTGTTCACTGTTCCAACTTTTAATTTAACTTTTTACACTATGGCTGTAGTGACGGGTCTCTCTTTGGTAGCAGCTGTGTGGGGGTGCATTCTTTGTTGTAACAGCCATGTTGCGATCAGGTAGTTGGCTGATCGGCGTCTCTGGTGCGGGCTTGGCTGTTCCGAGTGGGCGTTCCATTTCCTGTGTGGCTGTTGCAGGAGAGACGTGTCATCTAGGGACTGATGATATTTAAGCTGCTTTGATTTTCTTGTTGTTTTGATGTCTTTCATTTTGACTGAAATTTTTTAATTTATCTTGTTTTGAGGATGCCCTTGTGGTTGTGTGCCGCTTATACAAAAGTGCATATCCAAATAAATTATTATTATTATTATTATGAAATCATGTTTTAAAGATTCCTCATAAAGATGACTTGGTTTATAAAGCAGCGTCCACCCTGTAATTGGCGAGTTACTTGCTGTTGGATGCGAATAGATAATGCAATACAACAAATATCTGATCAAAGTTTATTTATGAAGAAGATATGTACATTTCTTTTTGGGCCTTTATTTTTTATTTAAGACCATCACTGTGGGAATGTTCACAAAAAATGAGGTATAATAATTCTTGCCTATTATTAATAATACTGTAATATATGCTATAATGTTTTTACAATTTATTGTATTGACCTTTTTTTCTCTAAATTAAATTTTTTTAAATAAATGAATTGAATGTATATTTCTCAATTGTATATAAAATTAATTCACTCATTTTTTATTAGAAACTATTTCGAATTAAATGAATTTGTATATATACCTATCTTTTTCTTGTTGACTTTCATGATTTGTTGGATGTTATCTTTGGTAAACTCCTCATTTCAACCATGTGTTGTATTTTGAGTATTTTTAAACCGACTAAATAAATAAACTGACCAAATAAATACTTAAATAACAACTTACCTTCTCTGTTGATGCACATGAGATAACGGTTGCTCCATATCCCTTTACTGCCTCCACCTTACAAAGTGGAGCATTAGTAGGCATGACGATATTGGCTTTTACATTACATAACTTGGCTGCCAGGGCTAGTGCTTGCCCATGGTTACCACTAGAGTGTGCAAGAACAGAGAGGTCATCTGGCGAAATTTTCTCAACCAATTTTGAGACAGAGTTGAAGGCGCCACGAAACTGCAAATAAAAAATCAAAATTGCTAATTAAAAGTTTATACTTTTTTAAAAAGTTTATGGTTGTATTGTACACACAGGGGTTTGTCGAAAATCCAGTAGATTAAAATAAATAATAAATCATGAAGTAGTAGATTCGTAAAATTAATAACAATATGAAATATTACCAATTTTAAAATAAAAAATACTGTAAAATGTTGAATAGAAGCTTTGGGCTGCTTCTTTTACAACTCTTGGATAGACTTCTTTTGAGATGGGCTTATTTTGAGATACTTTTGAAAAAACTAAAGGGGCTTCATTTAAAATTGAATGCTGTAAATTTGTAATATATATTTTTTTATTTTAACCATGCTAGTACAATAAAACAATATTGATACTGACATGCAATCACAATAACTAAAGATAACATCAGTCTAAATGTACCATACATTGCTCTATGAAATGTACCAACTCGAAAGAAGCCCATATTATCAAGATTAGAAGCCTATTGGTTATTTTCGAGATGGACTTTTTTTTAGATTACTTTGCAAACTAAGTTTTAATATTGTGCACTTTTTAATTTGAAATAATTGTTGATTGATGGTATTTTTTTTTCATTTTCATGTTATTGTATACAGTATGTTATATTTATATTTTTTTACCTTCAATTTTATTTTGGTCATTTATTAGACTTTGTTCACTTGTGTTTCTTTGTTAAAGGGGCAATTGGCCCTTAATGGGTAATAGAGATTCTAATCTATTTAACTGTCCCTAACCATGTTTTTATCATGTAAATTGTGGTTAAATAAATAAATAAAACCAGTGGTGGATCCAAGTGTTCGAAATAGAGGTGGCCTAGGAAGGGAATTTCACAGATAGATGGAGGGTCTATGCCACCTCAGCCCCACCATGGTTGGGGCTGAGGTAAGAAAACTTAGGATTATGGCACCGGAAATGACACTCTCAGACTCAAATTTAAATACAATTTTATTTTTCTTTTTTTTCTCCATTTCTTTATAAATTTGAGAAATTTAGGAGGGGGGGTCCCCCCTGGAATCCACCACTGGAAATGAAATGAAACGTGCTCTAGAACATGTCAGAGAGCCTGTCCTTGAAATACTTAATAAGAATTAATAATAATAATAAAAATGAATAATAATAATAATAATCCAGATAACTAATTAATGTTGTATACAAATATAATTAAAATTTAATTTAT